ATGGAAATCAAACATAAGACAGAAGTGTTCCCATAAGATTATCTCAATTACCCTGACATATGTGGCCAGTTCCCATCCCACCCTCAGGGGATCAAAATGAATTCTGATTTGGAAATTCTAACCAAAGAGTATCACAGTCCTTCCTGATTTTAACATAGGAACTTTAACATAACATCGACTGGGCAGCTAGCAGAAGGAAGAAGGGAAGGGGGTGGGGGAGAGACAGAGACAGAGAGACAGAGAGACAGAGACAGAGAGAGAGACAGAGATGGAGAGACAGAGAAAGCAGATAAGGTTGAAAACTCAGTCCAAGTCTGTTCTGACAGCAATGAACAGATATTAATAGAGAAAAGAAAACTTGCTGACCTAGATGTGATGTCTGGTCTCTGAAAACAAGCTGTTTATGTAACCCAAGTCTAGAGGTGTGTGTGATTCCATGGTATTTATATTGATGTAGACAAAGATTTGCTTAAATCAAACTTGGTCTCTCAGACCTGAGTGTTAATTGATAGCCAAGAGTTCCTTGGGAATCCCAGGTTGCCCCCCTCACTCACTTCCCCTCCCCCCCTATTTCAGAAGCCCTGAGATGCTTGCAGCATCCATCTTGCACTGTAGTGCAAACAGATCCCTGCAAAGAGAGGGGAAAATAAAATGAATTTAAATTCCAAAGGGGTTCCAGCGCTGGTTTCCTAGTCCCCAAGTCAGCAATGTGTTTGTGAAAATGCAGCCTTTTTGTCTCTCAGTAAAAAGGAGCTAAATCTACACCGGTGGCCCAGTCTTGGGTTGCTATTCTTTGCATTTTCTATTCGAGTGAATGAGAGTGAATGAAGTGGCCGGGACCCTTCATTTGATCTACTCAATTGCATAAAGTGACAGAATTCTAATATATTTGTTTAATGCTCTTCAATGGCTTGCACTTTTTTTTTTTTTTTTTTTTGGCTTGCAAATGAAGTGTCTGTTGGCAAAGTTTCATCCCCCTTTAACACTGGGACATATTTCATAACTTGAGCCATGATTTGAAGTGATCTGGAGAGGAGTTTTAGTCTCAAAAAGTGGAAAATAAAGAAACAGATGTGCAGTTATTGTAAATTCCTGGCGTGGGCTCTGGGGCTATTGTGCCCCCACGGCGGGCGGTCCTGGGGCTGTCCCTTTCACGCTGTAATTGAAACATATTAATTAGATAATTTGTTGTTAGTTTAAACGAAACAAATGCATTCCCTTTGAGGCTTCACAGCCGGTGGGTTGAGTTGTTTTTGTTTTGTTTCTGTTTGGGTGTCTCTTCTCATACGTGGCTTTTAGAAGAAAGAAAGATATTAACTGGCATTTATATTAAGAAGTTAAGAATAGGCCCTGATCTTTTCTGTTCCTTAGCTGAATACATTTAACAAAAGGAGGTCTCATTTGTAAAAGTCTAAACCCAGCCTCATCCTGCTCCCCGCACCCTGCACCCCAGCCCCATCTGGGTCAAGCAATGTTAAACCCACTAGTCAAAACCCTGGCTTGGATTCTTCCTCTCTAACAACCTTTAACTTTGCCCTCCTTGAGCAATGAACCAGACAGAGTTCTCTTCCAAGATACTCAATGTTTTTATCCATTAGGTCTGAAAGTCATTGTTTAAATATTTAAGTCATTGGAGATCATATCTTAGGGTTCCTTCCCAAAGACCCCAAGTCAATGAAGACAGTGAGACTTTTTCCAGATTCCCTCTTGAGAAAGAGGGAGAAATCCATCTACTGTATAGGTAGTTAAGTCACAGAGAAAACAGTTTCAAAATATAGCTAAATACAGCACCGTATGAGGGCAGGGGGATGTAAAATAGCCAAGCTTCCAAATCAAAAACCCAAATGAGGAAATCAATACTGCCTGGCTAAAGAGGAGAAAAGACTACAATTTCTCTTAGGGTAAGACCCAGCACATGCCTTCTCACTGCGTGATACTGTCCCCTCCAGTCTTATTTTACAGCTATGTGTCTTGACTTTGGACGTGTGCCAGGGTGAAAAGGTTTCACATGACAGAGAGGAGCATCCTAGAAAGTGGCACAGTTATGAAGTTCCTTGATCGTGGGGGCGCTTCAGATAAACCCTTATGAATCTCAAAATCACCGTGAGGGCAGGGGCTGGGAAAATGGGGTAAGGAGTGTGTGTTTGCATTTGTGTTATCTCTGTACTTCTAATGGAGGTCAAAATACCATCAATGTTGGTTCCCTTCTCTCTTTACTCATTCAACTTTGTCTAAGAAAAAAAAGTGCCTGCAATCCTGAAAGGGGGACTCATAGTGCCCAAGTTATTTCATTCTTTGCAATATACCATGACAAACTTACCAACTGAAAAGAGTATTTTCAAATACTAAACTCAAATCCTCTTTGCTAGACACAAGAAATAAGATCTGTCCCTCATAGGTTCAGTGTATTAAGCATATGTGGGCGTACACCCCTTACCTACAAGCAGCCACAGGAGACGGTAGCCTACCTAGCTAAGCTGATGTTTACCAAATGCTAGAGGCCCATGTGAGCCCTTTATACAGCCTTCATTCCCAGCTGTCCTTCAGTGTTAACAAATTGGATGAGATCAGAACATTCCAGAGGCAGTCAATCTTCATTTTAGTTTGTAAGAATCTAAAATGTATTTTTCAATGTAGATAATTTCTAGTTGAGAACTAAGTTTCATGAATTTTCTAGCCAAGATGGCTAAGTTTCCAGGCTTTCTTTGGCTGATCTTGTTGATATAATTGTGAATTGGGCTTGATGAATGAGTTTAGTTGTCTGCTGTCTGACTGGCTTTAGAAGCTTCATGCATTTTAATCAGTCCAATGATTCATTTATTTTCCACTTTTTTTTTTTGGACTGTGTGTGGGAGTCTTCCTTTTAAAAAATAGAATGGTTACAACAGGATTAATTCTGCTTTGCATTAATCCTAATTTTTTTCCAGGTAGCCCTCTGATTACATAATAGTGACAGGTGCTGAGGGCTGCCCTTATGTAGTGTGTTATCCTGGTGCTGTGTTTATGTGTGGCTGTTGCACAAGGTTCTCTTGTTTAATCATTTACATAGTAAAGTGTTAATTACCATTTAAGTTCCTCTTTGTCTTGTAACTTCATTAGTTGAACACACATCTCACTCTCAAAATATGGTTACCCCCTTCAGCAAAGTGTCAATTAGCCTTGAACCATAAATTCTCGGCAAGTTTTAATTCTTTGAAAAAAAAAATCCAAAGGAAAGCAAATACTTAGAGACAGACTTTTAAAGAAACTTCATTCACAACTTCAAAATATGCATCAAGCTTGTGTGTGTGTGTGTGTGTGTGTGTGTGTGTGTTTTCCACAACAAGGGACAAAAGAAATCTACTTGTTCCAAAGTGAACAGGTTTCTTGAGCTAAAAGGTGAACCTTCTGGTGATTTCTGAAAGAAAAGAAATTTCAAGGATTGCAATAATTTAAAGGAGTAAGGAAACTAAACTTCCAAATAAGAGTATCAGCATATAGAGGGAGGAAGCAAGCCTGACATTACTATTTAAGACCTCTCTCCACAGAATTTCTACATAAGTCTCATATACATATATACATACATATGTTAAGTGCTATTTCATAAAATGCATATTTAAGATAGATAAAAATACACAGGAAGTACTATAATTTTTCCATAAGTGTTTCTTGAGCATTCCACCTGTGCACTGGTTTATAACCAAAACACTTTGCTCCTCTTCCACCATGCAGAAATGCCTTCAGTGGTCCACCTGAACAATCCTCCCATAATCTGCAAATGCACAAGACTAGGGCTTGATGTTTTTACAATATGATTTGAAAAAGCAAAAGACCAGATTGCAAAGAGTACTACATCCATCTTTTGTAAAGTAATGTTGTCTTTAGCAATTCTTCAAAAACACACAAAACTTAAACATTTTGAATGTACATATTTTAATGAGAAAATATTATTTAGACTAGGTCATAATTTAATGTAGACACCTTTTTAAAACTCTGTCTTAAAACAGGCATGCTGAGAGCAAGAACACCAGTATTTAAAATGCCATGCGAACTCTGTACAGAGAGGAAGAAAAGTGAAAGGGGAAAACTTTACAGCTCCTGCCACACTACAATTGCCTTTTTAACGTAAACAGTTCACACCAGAACAAGCTTCTTCGTTTTCTCAATTACCTAAGACGCTAAAAGGAATATACCAAACAAAAGTGCATTTTACACAGGGTAAAACCATTCCTATGCACAGCTATTTACATCTCTTTGCAGCCCTTTAGTTTCGTGGAAAAGTTCTTGTAACAAACAGAAAGAGTTGTCCAGGGGAGAATTCTGCTGACGTCCCTTCATGGTCCCAGTGAGTTTGTTCTTCCCGGCCGCCCTCGGTGCTTTCTGATTGGGCTTAGTTCATCTTTTTTTCTCTTTTATTTCCTTCTTTCTTCCCTTTTCCTTTCTTTCTTCAATAAAATAAATAACTAAAAAGGTGTCTAGTAAGAAAGTTAACATCCCAATTAACTTCCCCATCCTCCCTCCTCCCCCTCTTTCCCCTAAACCTGGCCAGAAGAGTAGACCATTCACATCACAACAGGTGCTTGTAAAGAGGGCTCTGCCCACTCGCCCGCCTAGCCAGGCAGATTCTAGTTCACTGTTTACATCTTTACCGGGCGCTTTGTGGACAATAAAAGGTTACTTTTAGTTGTATTTTGTTTGTGTGAAGGACAAGTGTCCTCCCCAACTTAGCAGCCTCTCTCTTCACTCACAGGTCTGAGAGCCTCGGTCAGGAAACAAAACAAAACAAAAAACAAAAACAAAAAAAAAAAGAAAGAAAGAAAGAAAAAGAAAATTCTTCGTCAAAGCCGAGGAGGCAGGGCCACAGCCATAGCCGTGGTCCAGCCCATTCCCGCTTGCTGGGCGGAGGCGAGCGGGTGGGAGGATGAGTGGCCACGGATTTCCAAGTCCTAAGGAGATCCGGCCCATGCGGTGCGGCTGCATCTCCGCGGGCATCCGCTCCCGGGCAGTGTTTTCTGGTCTGGGAATCTCACGGAGTCCTGAGCTACGCGGAGTCCAGTAGAAGACACGTTTTTGCCCCGCGCAGGAGGGAGGCAGGGTGTCCTGCCAGTTGAATGGGAGTGGGTTTCGGGGGACCTGGAGGGACCGCTTGGCTTAGGTTAGCCCCTGCTTTCCCTGGAACATAGGAGAGGCGAAGACAAGCGCTCACGCGCCTTCCAGCAAGTTTGTGGTTTGTCTTCTGGGTCCCAAAACAAAAGTTCTCCCGGGAGAGAGAGTTGGAGGAAGAAGAATGAACAAGTTAGGACCGCGGTCCTAGGTCGGAGAGGGCTGGACCCGGGGAAGTTGCGAGTGGAGTGGCGGACAGGTGACCAAGAGGGAAGCCCCGGCTTCTGTGGGTCAGTGCACTGCCACCGAGTGCAGGGCGGAGGCCGGGCTGGTGAGCGTTTCGCTGGGGGTGGCAGGACTGCTTTGGCTGGTGGCTGTCTGCGAGGACGTGGGGCTGAGCGAGGGCGGCGAGTTCGAGAGCAAGGTAGGGATGGGCGCGGGCAGGGCGGGCAGCGCAGGTACAGCGGCCGGCGTGGGCTTGATGGGCACCGGGATGGCGGGCAGCGTCTGGCCCGCCGCGTGGCACAGAGGCTTCAGCGGCACTCCATAGGCGCTGTAGTCGCCACTCGCCATGGAGATGGGAGTGGCCGAGTCGATCATACCCGCGGAACCGTACACGTGTGGCCAGCCGGTGCCCAGAGAGCTGCCCATGGTAGTCAACTGATTAGGGAGCGGGTAGGCAGCGGGAACAGGCTGCATGGCCGAGAAGGCCAGTCCCCCAGGCATCTTGTATTCCCTCGCGATGATGTTCTCTATCGCGAAGGGATGCTTAAAGCCTGAGGGCTGCGCGACGCCGCCCAGGTTGTAAGCAGCGGAGGGCATCTGCGGCAGGTGCGTGCCCGAGGCGGCCAGCGCGCTGAGCCTCAGCTTGGCCTGCTGCTGCAGGTACTGCGCCGCGTCGGCGGGCTTGCTGGGCGCCAGGTGGTCCGACTTGAGCACCTTGAAGCGCTTACGGCGCCTCAGGAAGCTGCCGTTCTCGAACATGTCCCCACAGCTAGGATGCAGCGCCCAAAAGCTTCCCTTACCGGGTTGGTCCGGCCGCCGTGGGATTTTGATGAAGCAGTCGTTGAAGGAGAGGTTGTGGCGCAGGCTGTTCTGCCAGCGCTGCGTGTTCTCCCGGTAGTAAGGGAAGCGGTCCATGATGAACTTGTAGATCTCGCTGAGAGGCAGCATCTTCTCGGGGGAGCTCTGGATGGCCATGGCGGTCAGCGAGATGTAAGAGTAGGGTGGCTTCTGGTCGCTATAGGTGTTGCGGCCCGGCCGAGGCATCTTCTCGCTCGCCTTCTTGATCAGGGTCCGCGCGGCTGGGAGGACTGGTCGGATCTGAGAAGAGGGAGGTGACGAAAGGGAGGGATAACATGGATGCAGGTCACCCAGGCCGAGTCGCAGACTTCAGGGATGGGGAGTAGCGGATGCGCCTGAATCAGCGGGTGCTGGCTTCCCAGCAGCTTTAAGCACCAAACTGGATGGGTCCAGCCTGGAGAGGCAGGGAGGGGAAGCCAGCGAAGGGCTGCTAGGGTTGCAGGAAAGTATGTGGGTTCTGAGTGTAGGGGAAGGGACCGAGAGCTGCTCACCTTAAAGTTGCTCCAAGTTGCGCCACTGCATCCGGGATGGCGCCGCTGGTGGCAGAGTCGCTCCCCTCGTGGGATGCGAGCGCAGAGTCGGGGCTCGGTGGGACTAGCAGCAAAACTGGCTTCTTGGGCTCAGCTCCGCGGCGCTGCTGGGCAGTGCGTCCCGCCAAGACCGCAGGGCTGGGCTGCGGAGTGCGGGAGCCGGTGGTGGCAGCCGCCGCCTCCGGGCTCGGAAGGGCGCTGCTGTGGTCTCTGCGGCTCGGCTGAGCTAGGTGGCTGCCTCCATGTCCTCCCTCGAACCATCTGATAGTTTTAAGCGGTGACAGGAGCAGAAAAGACCCCTGTAGCGGCGCTTCATTAATGTGCCACTTCTTAGCTATCATATGACAATCGCCTTGGGAGGAGGAGGAAGAGGAGGGGGAGCGGGGACTGCAGAGGGAGGGGACTGAGGGAGAAGGCAGAGAGCCTGGCCGGCGCTGGTTTCTTTCACACCTATTTACGTGGGCACCTTGGCCAATAGGAATCACTTCCAGCTGAAGACTGGGTGACAGGCAAGAGCTTCGGCTGCCCGGCGGGGAGCGAGATGCGCCCGCCGGTGTGCGCGGTGTGAAGGTATGCGCAGACAGCTGCGGAGCCAGGAGCCCGGCGACCACTCACCGTTCACCCACAGAGCTGCGGTGCAGATGATGTCTGGAGTGGAAATTGCTTGACTGGGTATTCTGTTTCCTCTGCGTTGTATCGGGTTTGTATTGTTAGCTAACTTCAGGCACAGGCTTTCTCCTGAGGGGGCGACCCTTTAACTTTGCTTGGCACTATCGGGATTGGTTGCATGGGTTATTGTAATGGAAACCTACTCTCCTCACCCACCCCCACCTCCAGTCCTGCAAGAGGCAGGTCATAATTTGATTTGATCTTCCTAAACTGAGACTTCAGCGCTGCACAGTTGGGTATGCAGCTAAAAAAAAAAAAAAAAGTGGAGAGAGAAAAAAAAAAAAACCCGGTCAGGTGTGTAAGGGCCAGTTTTAAATCTAAATGTGTTAGACAAGTTTTATTTATTTTTTTCCCAAGGCCAAGTCTTTGCTTTAAAAGTCTTCCAGCAATTTGATGAGTACAGCAAGGGGACTCAAGGGACAGGAGCATGGGGCTGGCAGTCTGTGGACCTGGGGAGGGCCTGAGTTTGTCTGACACACTTTGTTGCCAGGGGAACCCAAGTGTTTCTCTCTTCCTCCAGGTGGTTGGAAACTTTAGTAGTATGGTATTTCCTGGAAGTTTGGAAGTCTGCATTTTACAGTCTGCCCCTCCCCCACACACCTCTTTTTTACATAGAAATAAGTAATTTAGAATTCAGAAAGCCAGGCAAAAGCTGTCTGAGGCCCTCTTACAACCAGAGTACCTGCTAAGACTTGTCAAGAGTTTTTCTGAGTGAGGGTGGGTAGGGGTGAGGCTCTAATCTTTCTGCCTGGTGAGGGTTAAATGAATCATTATTATTATTATCATCATCATCATCTTCGTCATTATCATCATCAAGCTGCTGTGAAATAAACAGTGAGTCCACGAGGTTGCCTGCATGCACACAATGAGTACTCTCTAGGAGTTACCAGGCGTTTCTGTCCAGGAGTTTCTGGTCTCTGTGGTTTTAAAAACATGCTACTGTGTTGTTAAAATGCAATACTGCAGCCCACAAGGAAGTCAGAAATATGAGAGCTCTTTTTTCTTTCTTTCTTTCTTTTTCTCAGGAGGTGGAGAATTCTGGGTGTGAAGTTCTTTATGCTCCAAGTGACATGTTGGGCTTACCATTTTTAAAAGACCCTTCAGCCTGTGAGGAGCACCTGCCCTCAGACAGCGACACAGACACTCACACAAAACTTCATTAACCACAGTTTCAAAGGTGGTCAATAACTCACCAAAACGAAACTTAAACACGATGAATTTAGGAGATTAAACAATTTCATTAATATTGAAATGGCTCTAGTGTCTGGGCTGCCTCGCTTGAGATGCAAGCGCACGTTTTTCAATATTAACAGAGGTGCTTGAAGAAAAGATTCATGCCACCTTCTTAATTCAGAAAAAATAATGGGGGGGGGGGCAAGGACATGGGGGTGGGAGATCTTGACCTGTCCCTGGGGGCAAGGCTAGAGCAGGGCAGATATGTAGCTTGCTTTTCTCCAAAGATTAAACCAGTTAGAACCGGGTGAATCCCTGGCGGAAGTTGGGCTGGAAGCAGCCCTGAGCTGTGGGTGTTATAGCTGCTAACTAGCTGCTATGTGCGGTGGGGGCAGTTTCTGTGCGCCACTAGGTTAGATTCTAGGGTTTGTGATGGGAGGAGCCGGGAGACCAAAGGGATGGAAAATGGAAGGGACCCTAGAAGATAGACGGAGGAGCTAGTCCAGGGCTTTCTTGCTCCAGATTACAACTGGCCTCAGAGGTTCAAAGCTGAGAGTTCCTGAGAGCGAGGAAGGAGCGCTCCGGGTGGAAAGGTACCACGGTGCACGGAAGCCCAAAGATTTTAAAGACCCTTCCAGCACCCATTCATACTGAAATGTAAAGACGGATAAAATGCTATGGTGGTTGGATTTGAGATAGTGAATATCGAAGTGAAAGACGATCATTTTCCCTTAGTGACAGCCTGGGAGGGTTCTTTTCTATCCGGCATGGGTGCGTGTTAAGGGTGGGGAGCGAGGAGAGAAGAGTTTTCTTATTTTAACAATCGACATTTTGTTGCCTGGCCAAAAGGGCCATTGTGTGGCTGTCGAAATCGTTGCTTAGTGTAAACAGAAGATTATCTAAATTCCAAGAGTGAAAACGTTGGGGTTAAGAGGAAAAAAAAAAAAAAACCCAACTTGGAATTAATTTTTGCCTACTTCCCCGGGAAAATGAGCACAAAATGGGAGGATTCAAGTAGGAATTCCTGTCTCCGGAATTTTCTGAAGTTTGACTGCAATAAATACGGGAGTTGAGGCACATTACCCATGCTCAGGGTTAATTAAGTAAACAGAACATAATCACATTAGGTTTGCCTTGCAAAGAGAAAGAAGTTGTGAAGGGCGCATTTAAAAACGTGCATTTGCCTTAAGGTCTTGTCTCCTTGGTTAGGGCTGAAGGTCTGCAAAGCCCCAGGGAGGGAGGGAGGAGTTGCAAGCTGTTTACAGCATTTTAAGACTGACATTATAAAGAGGAGGAGGGAGAGACTACTTTCCAAAAATCTTGAAAAGTACATCAGAGTCTATTGTACAGAACCCAAAGTAAACAGAAGCTGGGTGGAGGGGGCCACATCCGACTCCGAGGCTTAAGGGGTTGTTGGGGAAAACTGTATAAAATACACATAAGTCAATTATACCCCATGTGCGAACCAAATGAAAATCTCTTTGGTGCGAGAGCCATTCATCGCCAGCGCAGAGCCCACCGCCGACCACCTTTCTGCTTGGAAAGTTCGCAATAGCCTCTTTTCCCACAAGCTGGACCACACACGGCTACAGATTTCATAATAATTTATGCTAATTTCCCTCCATAAATCCACAATTTGCTTCAGTGGCACCCAGGCTGCTGCGGGAGTAAAAGGAGACAGAGGGGTGACAGAAACAATATTGATTTTGATTCCCTGTGTTGTTAAGCAGGTGTGTGTGTGTGTGTGCGTGTGTGTGTGTGTGTGTGTGTGTGTGTGTGTGTGTGTGTGTGCGCGGGGTTGTGGGTGGGGCT